GCTCACTCTTCCCCTTCCTCATCCCAGGAAGCAGTCAAAACAATGAAATTAAGCTTGTGGTAGAAAGTGTTGGAGAAGGTGCTGGGAAGAGAGAGAGAGGCTGAGAGCAGACTTCAGAGTGTCTTGATTGGAAAGGACAAAGCATTTTCCAGTAAGATAAAATAACGGAGAATCTGAGCTACTGCCTGCACTTCCTTGGTAAACAAGGGTCCCTTTTCTTTTTCTTTTCTTTTCTTTTTTTTTTTTGAGTTGGAGTCTCACTCCATTGCCTAGACTGGAGTGCAGTGGCATGCTGAAGGCCACCCAAGTGTCGACCTGCTGGGCTCAGGCGATCCTTCAGCCTCAGCCTTCCAAGTAGTCCGAACAACAGGCACACGCTACCATGCCCGGCTAATTTTTTGATTTAGTGTAGAGATGAGGTCTTGCCAAGTTGCCCAGGCTGTTCTCAAACCCATGGGTTCGGCCTCCCAAAATGCTGGGATTACAGGTTTGAGCCACCACACCTGGCCAGATCCCTTTTCTTAATCCTGTTTCTGTGACTTGCTATGTGACCTTGGATATGTTATTTAACCTTTTTAGTTCAGTTTCCTCTCCTGCAAAATGAGCATAAAAAAAGACCTGTCTCACACAGCTGTTACAAGGTTTATATTAGTTAACCCATGTGAAACATTTAGAAGCATCTCTAGCATATAGTAAGTGCTACATGATTCTTGGCAAGCATTATTTTTGATGGATTAATTCACTGTCTTTTTTTTTTTTTTTTAAATAAACCTGCGTCCTTCACTTGCTGCTCTTAGGTAACCATTATTATTTGAGCTTTGCAATAACCTATATGTTTGTTATTATCGTCCTTTTACAAATAAGAAATTGTGGATGGATTATTTCTTTAATTGACTTTCAAGGTCCTGAATTTTATTTTCTCTTGTATTACTCCTATTCACTTTTGTCACTTTCTACTGGGTAAAATACACACACACACACACACACACACACACACACACACACACACACACACACCAAAAAATATATAAGACCTCCTCACTAAAAAACCCCAAGGCCAAAGCTCTGAAACAAAGCTTTTAGGAAAAGGGGTGAGGGAGATTTTTTAAAAACAAGGAAAAATACCTTATAGTTTAAAGAACCAACTGCTCAAGATAAAAAATTCTACACTACCTTTTCTTACAGACAGTTCCTACCACATAGCAAAATAAGATGATGCTTGTCTCTCCCGGCTTCCTCTCCTTTTATCTTCCCTTCCCCCTTTTTCCAGCTGAGCTATAGGCTTTAAATCCTGCACAGCCGATGCTGCCTTATCTGGTTTTAAAAAACTGGTCTCAGCACGAATAAATTCTCCTTCTTTGTATAGGGGAAAAAAACATAAAAAGAAAACACTAAACAAAAAATAAACCTATACTTTCAATTTAGCTTTAAAAAAATCCCAAGCCGCAGAAATCACTTCCAGGATCTGCTCAGATGAGCCGGGATGCTGAGTTCTCATAGGATTGGTCGTGCGCAGTAAGCAGGGTGTTGACCAAAATGGCTGACTAATGAACTGAACTGAAAATTCAGGCTCATGTGACCAGCTGCTCTGAACGTAGGGCGAGCAATTCCCAGGATGCTTTATAGATGCTGCTGATGCAGGGAGAGCAATTAGGCTGCTCTCTCTCATCCTGTACAACCCACTTCCAGACTGTGCTAGTCAAACTGTGATCAGACATAACACAATGCACATATCCTCATCAATTCCCCAAAAAGGCTGAATAAAAGGACAATTAATACTGGATAATACTCCATGGCAAAGATGGCAAAATAGGCAGAGTAATTTAATAAGCACATAATTAGCTTCTATCTTTTATCCTTAACCACATAACTATTAAAATCTTTACTAAAAAACTGGCCTCAGCATGAATAAATGTTTTAAGAAAGCTAAAGCAGATTTTGAATTTAAATATCTTACTCTCGGACATTTACAAAAACCTAATTTTTTAGGCTGCTGAAATGTAAGAAAAAAACTTGAAGTCAAAAAAGTAAAACTCTCTCCAATTAATGGAAACTCCCCCCTTTTGATATTGCTATATTTCTCAAGTTTCTGCATTAAACATGAAATATGTTTCTATTCAGAAGATAAAACCATGTTATATTTTTAAAACCCTCCCATCCTGGTATGTGCTGAAGCCATATTATCATATTGTTTTAAACCAGTCCACACACACACACACACACACACATGAATGTATTGAAGCCACATTATCATATTGTTTTAAACCAGCCCTGGTTTAAAACACACATCTACATTAAACACACATCTACATTATCCAATGAGGAGACATTTATATCTTGGTAGCAAAAGGGCAGGTACTCGCTTTCTGAGCTATATAAACTACAAGAAGATACATGATAAGAATTTTCTTTGAAAATGTTTTGGACAATTGAAAGCAATTTTTTTTTTTTTTGTATTTAAGAGTTCCAGTTTTAAGGAAGAAGATACAACTTCAAGAAACATAACTCGAGACTATCCATTGTTATTAGAGGGACACTTTGATTTACTTAATTTCTGAAAACAGAAAAAAATTCTTTTGAATGTTATTAAAATCTCATAAATGCTTCATCCTAATTTGAGACTGAGTGTAATGAAAAAATGTGAAGAAGCAGATTCTGTATATAGAAAGGAATTTTCGTATTGTTAGAAGGTAAACTGGTACAATGTAAGAAGGCATATATACACAGGCTTATTTATAACTGGGGGAAAATCAGTACTTTATTAAGGAAAATAAAATACTCTTGGTTTATTGGTTTCTATCTCCTTCTCTCCCAACATTATCCTGCTTCTGGACCCAGAGCCATCCATCCATTCATTCACTCACTCATTCAGGAAATATTCACTGAGAGGTACTCCAGTGCCAGGCAGGATCTAGGCACTGGGCATGCAGCCACAAGAAAGACAGGATTACCTTTTCCAGAAAGCAGAGTTTACATATCTGAAAACTGAACACAAGTCTTCATGTAACACATTCACATTTAATTACAGTTCAATTCCTTTCTAACCAAACATATTTCCATCTTATATGTTAAAACATAAAGAGGACAGTTTATAGTTTCGCTTTATGTCACGCAATACTTCAAAACACAGGAAGCAGTCATTAAAACCTTCAAATTACATTAGGAACCACAACTCTAAACAGCCTTCGCTATCTGCACTTGTGACATCAAACGGACACATTCTTAAAATATAGAATAATCCCAGCACTTTGGGAGGCTGAGGTGAGAGGATTGTCTGAGCCCACGGGTTCGAGACTAGCCTGGGCAACTTGGAGAGACTTCATCTCTACAATAAATCAAAAAATTAGCTGGGCATGGTGGCACATGCCTGTGTTTCCAGCTATTTGGAAGGCTGAGGTGGAAGGATCACCTGAGCCCAGCAGGTTTAGGTTATCGTGGCTGTGAGCGTGCCACTGCACTCCAGCCTGGCGACACAGTGAGACTCCAACTCCTAAAAAATAAATTAAAAAGTACAGAACAATGAGTACATGAATAAATCTGAATGCTTTGTGACTGCCTGGGGTCCATCCTGCCTGTGAATTCAGCCTTGTCACAAACCAAGACAAAGAATCTCTTCAAAGACCAATAGGTATTCAGTAACTGGAATAGATTTGGATTGATTACAACATGCCAGTACAACAGGAACATCTAGGTTAATAAGCAAGAGATGTGGTTAACATTTCTTCCAAAGGTCCATTCGCCCCCACTCGCTCCAGGTAGAGGACACAGGGAAGGAGGGCCAAAGGAACTAAATTAGCTTTGACAAGAGAAGAAAAACCTGACTCTGCTGGTTACCCTTGGGTTTCCTGTCTCTTTCAGTTTGAGGTGTTAGCAGTCATTTCAGAAATAAGAACTGTGGGTGGACAGAAAAACTTGTATTTCTTCTATCTAAGTCATACCTGTTCTACAGGTATTCATAACCATTGAATCTTTAGCAGTTACTTATTGTTCATAGGCAATGAATTTATGATGAAAACAGCACTATTTGTAGAAGACTAATAAAAATACTTCTAAAATATTGCTTAGTGCTGTTTTTACATTTGGGTCTTTACTAAGTTAACATATTAGCTTTGACTATAAAGATGGTACCAAGCCACCAGAAAGATATACAAAAATTGAATTTCTTTCTTCAGATACACACTGTTGTACAAGCTGTACTGAACTATTTTCTCATTTGATCCCATTTGTGAATAATGGCACAGATTTGTAAGATGGTTGTAAGGGCGAGAGTACAATCTGTGGCCCTCAAACAGAATTAATAGGCCTAGGTGAAATTCAAATCCAAGATGACGATCCAAAAAAGACTATGCTCTTAAACAGCCTGACTTTTCCACATTGATTGATTCAAAGCAAATGAGATTCACATTGCAAAGTTATAAGTTGTTTTCTCTTAAAATATATTTGTACTCAGCTGCTACTATAAGTAAAAGATTAAATTTGTCAGGTCCAGTGTCCCTGTTATAAAGTGTGGAAAAATTACTTCAAGTAGCTAGTATTTATTGAATTCCTATTTTGTTAGGAGCTTTACAAATACTATATCTAACACTCACAAAAACACTGCAAAGTAGTTATTGATATCTGCTCTTTACATACAAGGAAACCAAAGTCCAGTCAAGTAACGGCCAGGATCACACAACTAGCAAATGGCAGATCTTTTATCCCAAGCTATTTTTGCTTACATGACTCCAAAGCCCACGTTTTCTTCTACACTCTGAACTTTAGCACTCTACCTAACTCTTCCCCCTCAAATTAAATTTAAATTAAATGCAGAAAAATAAAAAGAACAAAAAAAGAAAAAAAAGCCAAGTAATACTGGTAAGGTCCTTATGAAATTTCCTAACCAGGTTTCAACAAATTTAAGATTTGAAGAAGAGAAA